TCATATATTGTCTTCTTTGCAATGTAATGAATAGTATATTTGCTTTGAGAAATGAGGAAAATGTATATTTTTTTAGTTCAGAATTATTGGGTAACTGACTGACTGAGATTAAACTGCACACACTTTGTGAGAGATGTGAAAACTCAAAATTACTTTGAGAAAGAACTGACAGTGTTTCCTACACTTTAGTAGTAATTACCCATATAACACTAATCTGCATAAGAAGAAACAATTTTTAATACAGATCCCTGGGGAACTCCGGAGATCCATCTGCTTCGTGCCATGGGGTTTGAATGGAAAAAGAGGGATAATCACAGGTCACAAATGGAAAGAAATGATATTGTTATTGCAAGATCTGATATTTTGATGAATGAAATGAAACTGAAGGCTGAGGGTTATGAATTTGTGTTTTTGGATGAGACTTGGTTTTATTCATAAGGCAAGTACAAAATCTACTAAATTTTGTATTGTTGAAAATTATGAAATTCTAGATATAAGTGAATGGAGAAGGCATACTTTGCATGTAATGAAATGTATCTTTTGAGAAAAAGCAGTGTGTGTAATGACTTATGTGTATTATGAATATTGTTTGTTCAGTTTGAGGCACCTTCATAGTGATTCAATATGATTTTATTTCAGTAGATCTTTACAAATTGTTTTCAAAAATTTATCCTTTAGGTTATGCTTCTCTGTCATGCCATGATAAAAATAAGGAGAGTTGCTCAAGCAAACATTTAGATGAATGTAAAAAGTATATAGTCTTACATGCAGGAGGAGCAAATGGTTTCATCGAAGATGCAGAACTATAGTTTCAGAGACACAAGTAGTAGATGAATATCATGGAACTATGACAGCAGAGATGTTCCAAAAGTGGATGAAAGAAGAGTTATTACCTCGGTTGGCAGAATCATCAGTTATTGTAATGGACAAGCACCAGTTCATTCTGTGCTGGTGAATGACATTTCATGAAGTGTTCTTTTAGAAATGTGAAAAATATTCATTCCAATAATACATTTATTCCTTTATAAAAATAACTGGTTATAAATGAGTATTAAAACTACACAGTGGTGAAAGTGGATGTTTCAACTTTTATTTCCATCACTAAAAAGGGCGGAATAGAAAATTTATTACATTCAATGGTGTTCAGTGATTTTAGTTATATCAGTAATACAATTTTTCTTAGAGAACATCAACTTTGCCAGTAGAATGTTTTATATGTACTTATAGAGAGAATGAAAAGAAATGCACGTTATCTTTGAATATAACAGAATCTTTACTGTTTTTAAGCTGATCTTGACTTACTGAAATTTATTCTTATTCTTATTATTATTATTACTATTACTATTACTATTACTATTATTATAATTATTATTATTATAATTATTATTATTATTTCTATTATTTGTACTTTACAGATGTCTCAGCAGCTTCCATAAACTATCAATATCAGTAAAAACTTTAATAATTATTATATCAGAATTTAATTTTCAACAAATGTTTTTGAAATGAGATGTATGTACATTTTTATACTTCAGTTCTTTAACATCAAAGAAATAACTTCTCTTTCAACATCCAGATAAACACTAGCAGATGAATTTCATATAGTGACTATTGCTTCCAATAGTGAATACTTTGTAAATATATAGAGTTCAGAAAGGAACAATGTGCCACATAAGAAACGAGAAAACTGCTAAAACTCAAAAATTATGTTTGTGTGTGTGTGTGTTTTTGAAGGGGGAGGCTGTGTTTATATTTTTATTTTTATCTACTTTGCCTTGTGACTATTTGTGTATTTGTATTACTTGAACTGAATGTATTCTCAATTCTCTCTGAAAATAAATATCATGTAGTTGACATAGAAAGCATGTGGGATTGTAATGGTTTGTTGGTGATGGGGCGTTGTAGTCTTACGATTGAGGGTGTGGAGTGGGGGTGTAGAGAATCAAGTTTAGTAGTCCTAACTGTGGATTTCATGTATACAATCTGAGAGATTTAATTTTTTTCTATAGAATATTTAGGAGTATTTTTTTATTATATTTTGCATGATAAATAGTCTTTATTTTTTATTATTATTTTTTATTAATTTTTACATTCATTAGCCATTTTACTCATTTGCCATAATGGAGAGTATAGGGTTTAATTAGATTTAGCAATAGGTACAAAAAATATATTTTTATCATTATTTCTAGTACTCTGCTGTGAAAAAGAAAGAAAGAAAGAAAGAAAAAAAACAATGAATGAAAGATAACTCCTAGATCTTTAAATTCATTTAGGGCCAATTGTATGAACACAGAATAGACCTGGGATAAATTTCATCACGCTGTTAGCGCTTAAATTGGTTGTATGAACTCGAGATATGGGTTCACCGAGAGACAACAAGGTGATAAGTTATCCTGATACCTCGCACATGGTTATGGATAGTTAACTGTGTGTTAACCTTTACACTGTAAATCACCAGCTGAGAAAAAGCAAAATCTGTAGAACAACTTTGCTGAAGTGTACAAAATTCTGGAGTATTTGTTTTTTGATGAGAGTGAAGAAGAAATACCCCAGATGTATTTAAAAAGTTGAAACTTGAGAGTGCAAAGGATGCCAGATTTGTTGGATGTGTATGATTATTATAATTTTTTTTGGAAGATTCTTATAAGTGACATTGAACACAATACAAACAAGACAGTCCATGAAATAACAGTTTTTGTATAAAATATGTTCTATGGTTTATTATATTTGGAACTTACAAATTGACAAATGTTTGGCTTAGTGCAGTGTAAAAATGTTTGTACGCAAAGGTTATATTTGTCTTGTAGGAATCAGTCTGTACCTCCTATAATCTAGCCCCTACTGACATTGAGATGTTATGCTACAGTATCATTTGTAATTTACATTGGAGAATTTTGTGGGCTGGATAAAGTACCGCAAGTAGGATAATTAAAAAAAAATAGCCAGGCAATTGACAAATCAGCGCCAAAATTTATATACTTCCCCAAAAGTGCACTGGAAAGGAAATGTGTCAAGATTTTTACAAGAAAGCTGCTTTTGCAGGAGTAATTGGTGCTATTGAGTGCACTCACATTAAAATAAAATGTCCAGAAGAAGGCAGTTCAAAAGATAACACATTACACGAAACAGAGAGAGAGGGCACATTCATGTCAAACGTTCAAACTGTGAGCACTGTTGATTTGAAAATTCAGAATTCTGATGTTCGCTGGCCAGGAGCGGTGCATGACTAAATTATTTTTAATAACTCAACTCAAACCACAATTTTAAACTTTCAGGTCGATTTTGTCAGATCACCATAAGAAGCTGAGTTAAATTTGCTTTAAACAAATGTTTTTGGATATATTTACTACACATAACTAATTTTTTAATATCAACATATCAATTCTATTTTTTATGCTCACTAATATCATGCAGCCAAAATTATATTAAGTACGATTATTTTATTGTTCAATTACCAATATTCTTGAGATTTTAAGCAACATCACAGGAAGTTATTAGTGACATTCCAACACACTAGTAATCTGAACAAAATATTTGAAACCTGTGATAATGACACTGTCTATAGAACTTCAGTCAGAAGAGCACTGTCTCAAAATTTATTAAGCAATAGAAAGAGAAAACAATAAATTTTGAAAGAAGTATGTAAAGTTGTCTTGTCAAACTTACCACTCCTGGTAAACTGTTTTCAGCTTCAGCATTAGGACCATCATAGGGATGTTGAGGAGAACTGGTGGAACTGTCTGAGCTGCTATCTGGAGAACTTGGCATATTGGAGTTGACTTGTGACAGCTTTGCAGACAACATCTAAAGAAGGAGATTCTAAATAATTTCAATGGTTGCAAAATCAGCGAATTTATTGGTTGCCATCAGTCCCATATTTTATGTAAACATTTTGCCCATAAATTGTCAAAAAGTTTATGCTGCGATCTCACCTAAGAATTCATCATATGACTTTTCTAACCTTATTCAACCTAATAGTGAACTAGATATAATTGTGGCATTCATATTATAATGTCAACAAATGGGATGAAACTAAAAACAGGTGTTCAGTGTTATTAGTAAAAATCAAACTATGATATAATTGAACAAGAAAATGATGTGCAAAGAATTTCCCACAGTTTACTTATAATATTAATACTTGTGAGTCTTTCAATACTTTAATTTAAAATGCTAATAAAAGCCAAGTACTTTTACCATCAGATCTACAATTTCTAGTTTATACTTACAGTTTTATCTCTCAGAGGAATCTGCGACAAAAGTTTTCTGTCTTCTGAGGATTCTAAGTGTTCTCCATTAAGAAACAAATCGAGTTTTACATTGGCTCCAGTAGCCTTCACTCTTCGGAGAATATTGCGACGCAGTGATGCTAGGGTGTCATTTGTGTGAGTAAATATGTCTATATCTTCAACTGCTCGACCAGGATTTGGAAATCTAATTAAAAGAGTCATGTGTTTGCCGCGACACGCCCTGCAAATTCAGAGAATTATATTTTTATTAGACACAAGAAAATAATATTACAAATTTAGTATGCAGTAGTATAAACAATTCATTATTGTGAATTATCATAAGAAAAAGCACATCACATAAAAATACACAGTATATTCATTTAATTACAAATTTCATTTTGAAAGAATGTGTATTCCAATTATTGCACATTTTAAAATAGACATACATTGTTGAGTACAACTCTGCAAAAAGAAGAGTTAAGTCAAAGTAATTAGACCAATCATTCTCAATAATATCTAGCTTTTCTGCCACCTGTGAGGCTATTACTGTTTTGAGGAAATGTAGCTCGTTTCTGAGCGACACTAGTGCTTTGGAAGCTTTCAAGGTCTTCTAAATGCACTTCGGTCGTACATTCAGAAAACCACAAGTTTTCAAATAAATAAATATTGTGGATTACAACTCAGTGAGAAAATGTTTGGGAATTGCGGAAGATTAGTGCCCTGAGCTGCTGCTCTGCGATGTATTAAAAAATATTTTTGTCTAGTTAATATGAGTTGATCACAGTAATCATTCCTTAGTTGAATTGCAACTTATATAACTTTAGGATACAGCTGATGCTTCTTTACACACACCCAAGTTGGTGATGAGGCTTTGACCATTGACTTATGCAATTAGCATAAAATATGAGAGAGACCATCCAACATACAATTTCCAATGCATTTTATGCCTCAATACTTTTTGCCAACAGTTGGTTCTAAAAAGGCAAAAGGAAGGTTAAGCACCAAAGAATTTTGACAAAGAATAAGTGTAAATATACATGTTGGCCTTCGTTATGATTAATGTGCACTTGTATCTCACATTTGTATGTTCTAGCAGGAATTTCTCCCTGGGCATGTATACATTGGCCAGACTCCATTGTTTTATGTTAATTGCATCAGCTGAAGCCGAGGGCCTCATCACAAATTTGACATTAGTAGCGAAGAGTCAACTGCCCCATATGAAACATGAGATTATATAAGATGCCTTTCTGCTTGAGAACTTTGACCAACTCATATTATCTATAACATGTAATAAGGCAGTACAAAGTGATTCTTTTTTTAAGAAAATTGTCATGTCAAATTGCACTATTAACACACACCCACATCCTCATTTGCATGAAGTAAAATCCTCTTTTACACATTTCAAGGGTCAAAGAAAAAAATTGTGAAAATTGTGGGAGGTTACTTTTAATTATGTAATGAAATAGAGAACATAATACACTAATTTTATTAGTACATGGATCTTTAATGAGAAATTCTTAAGCTCCTTAGTCCTTGCACTTTAAAATACTTTTATTCTATTTCATAACCTCCCCTTCCACAACACAAGGAATTATTTATTGACCTCATCTTATGATCAAAGGAACAGAAAATAGTTTTATTTTTACACCATGCACAAACTAGTGCTACTACTGTTCTTTGTTGCATTATTTTTAATGGCATGCAATTTTATAATAGTAGATAAACCTGCAAAAGTGTTACCAACAGCAAATATAATTTTCAAGCTAAAACTACTCATATTTTCGGAAAGATGCACATGACCAGATTTGAGATGTCTTTGAAGAACATCTTGTTAAGGAAATAAATTTCTTCCTTTATTATATTATATATTATATATATTATTATATATTATATATATTATAGTCCAGGCTTCCACAACGCCTGCTCCGGCAGGCATTCTGCACTTATTGAGCCAGTCGTCTGCCTGGGAGAGGGCAAGTGTGGGAAGTAGGCAGCTGTGGAGGGGAGGTGAGAAGCCAGATCAGGGTCGATGCGACACGTAATTCAATGCCTGGGTGTCTAATGCAATGATCCGTGTAGTGAAATTTGTCCACTTATTTAATGGGCAAATCTATCGTTTTTCTCGCTACAATGGCCATGTTTCGTTGTTTATGTTCTTCTGTGCACTACTATAGAATATTTTTTTTTTAATTTTACCTTATGTTCATTGTAACTCAATGTTTTAAAAAAGTGGGATCTTTTAAAAATTATATATGTTATTTTTACTAACAAAAATGTACAATTTAATAATTGATTTTTCACCAGGAATGTTATCATCTCTGAATAATAGCAAAACAGGAAATTCAGAACAGTCTCTCACATCGATATGGATATAAAAATGAAATATAAGCAATTCCAGGAAGGGTAATGTTTGGCAACACTTATATTTGAGACCATTTTTCCTCATTATGAAGCTGAATAAGACATATCAATGAGCAAAGCGAAGCTTTTTTACAATATTTTGGGTGAATCATGACATAATCACGAGTCTTGTTAAATAGAACGCAAAGGGCTTAAGGTTTATATACAATGTCATAAACGATTAAGAATAAATAGTTTTCGTTGATTTGAAATTAGAAATATATAATGTACTCTTGTCAAAAATTAGAGCAGACAGTGGTCATGATTTTTTAAGAATAACATTTTTTTTAGCTTCGATAGTTCTGACTTAATCAATTAAATATGTTTAATGGAGGGAGGGAAAAGAAAAAAAGAAATCCTGACACAATCGAAAATCAATATTACAATTTTGTATTAAAAAGCACACTAAATGTGCTATTACTTCATAGCAAAGCAATCATATTGTCATACATTGACCACAAAAATTTCCACAAAAAAGGTAATGGTACTTGAAATGTAAGTAATAGTCTGCCATTCTCACAATTGCTCTTTCAATTTGAGTGCTACAGTTCGAAATGTGCATTGTCATTGGCGGACTCCACTCTCAGAATGAGTCTTATCCCCATCCATCCATGCAGCCCAGGTTTGTACTGGAGTTGTCTGTGCACGGCTTGAGGTCAATTAAAGTGCAGAATGCTGTGCAAGTCTGCTGTAGTTGTAAAAAGATATGTAGAAAATTTTTAATTCTTGCAATTTTCGAAAATACGCCCATTTGCGCTGTCCGAGGAGCAAGCTTAGTAAAAAATGATTAGAGCATCCCCCCCCACACACACACACTCAAAATGTTGAGGCTTCATGTTATGTACTCAAAAAATTCAGAATGTTTCAAACACACAGGGCATTGAGTTTGCACAGGTTGATAGGAGAATATCAATTTTGGTGAAAATCATGTGAACAGTTTGGATACTAGCAATGAGCACAAACACCCTTATTGCTGTCAACTAATATTTCATGATCAACATCTCGCAAAATATTCAGCATGACAATACTATGGGTTAGAGGAAGCAAAGGAACAAGATTTATCCACTTTTCTTTGATACCACATCCCCACAATAACAATTTTTCTATCCAAAACCTTCTGATTTTTGCCACAGTATTACAATACTCTCTCTTTACTGAGAATGTAGTAAGGCAGGGAAATAAAAACGAACAGTTTACTATATCTAGCAACAAAGTAGAAAGTAGTAGTAATACCTAGTAAACGTGCTTGTGAGATAAAAGGAAATGGCATGGAAATAAAGGTACTTGCTAAACTGGCATCAGTAAGACGATAATATGATTAAAAAAGGTCTGCTTAAGGATATTTTCTACAACAAATTGGATTTATTAGCACACCCATGGAAAATTATTCAGTTGTTTAATACTTACACTCCTGATAACATACATGGATCTTATGAAGTGTCTTTTCTTGTTATATATTATATGATACATTAGCAATATAGGAAACCTTTCAAAAACGTATACACCCCGCAACACATTAATAATTTTCTATTTCGAGAATAGATAGCAATATCGGGTCCAGGACACTTCTGGGACAATATTATATAATTCTCAGTTTTTCTGTTTACAGACAAGTATTACTAGACCTTTGGTGGAAACAAACACACAAGAACATCAGCCACCCCATCCTTCTTAGTGTTTGTGTAGTCATGGCAAAACGTGCAAAAGGTGGGAAATTTTCATTTTGAAAGTATAAAAGTAGGGACAATTTTACATTGTGAATGTAGGAAATTTAAAAGGATAAAATGGAGTAAATGATGAGAAAAAGTTAATAAAGTTAATTGTGGGAATGTAAAACCAGGGTTTTACTGTAAGTAAATAAAATACATAAAAATATACAACAGTTCTTGCCTGTGCAGTGGTAAAATTTTCCTTTCTACTGTAAAGTCGCCATCACACTCGCCAATATACTCTTGTAACACTTTCATTACACGACACATCTTTACTGCTTCAGCACGCAACTTGTTTACCATTAACCCATCTTCCCCAGTGTCTTTTAAATGATCAGTGCTCTCAGAATTAGAAATGGAAACGATAGGATTTGAAGCTCCCACTTTGTCCAAATTGTGTTCCTGAGATAAAACGCTGACGGTGTCATAATGAGCACGTAAACGATCCAAACACTCTGAGATGTAAGTTTCATGAAATTCCAATAAAGATGATTGAAAACGAGGGCCTAAATTTGTGTTAACTTCCTTTAACAATTCAATTGCCCTATTAGCAATTTCTTCTCCACTGTTAGTCACAACCTGCAATTGAAAGTAAATTCCAAAAATCAAAAATCATTTCATCGTAAATGGAGAGGATAAAATATGAAAGTAGTTGTTTTTTAATGTAAAACGTACCCTCCACAAATATTCTGTACCGATTAAATCTATATCATCCATGAGAAATGCTCTTCTTTTAGCTTTTAGCTTTCCTTCTTTGGAATTAACAGCCTTGAAAAATCTTTCAAAACACCTGAAATAAAATAAAGTAATAAGTATATAGTTTATTCATTTATATTTTCAGTTTGTTCTACAAGATTGAAATCAAGGAATTAACTAACTTCATTCCACTTTCGGTCAAGAGTACTGGATCCAACTGCAAGATATTATTTTCAAAAAAATCTTTATTAATTGCTGGGTCCAGGTCAGGTTCTTCTCCCATCAGCTTAGAGAACCATTTAAAACACGCCTCCCTATCTGAAGGGAACACAGCTTCTTCTGCTAAGCAACGCCATATTTGTTTTGCTTGGTCAGCGCACAGCCATAATTGCCCATCCTGTAAGCACAAAAATTATGTTAACATCTGCTTATGTAAACAACTACCAAATAACTTTGTCTAATATTCAACGCCTGAACATTCCAGAAAAATATCTCCTAAATGCCAATCATTATCTTGTATTTGTGACTGAACTGAATTAAAATATTAAGGCTAGTTTATTAAACTGTTTATTGATAATCTTGCATGATCTTGTCAATTTGTCAAACAAAATGTTATAGAGGATTTTTTGAACGGTAGAAATTATTGCAATGCACTTTTCATGGAAATGCATGAGGAAAGGCGGGTTAATTAATGCAAGTATTCATTTCCATTCTATCACTTGTATTTTATGAGATATTGAGGTAATTGTGCTGTTTTCAAATGGAACTATACATATTTTAGCCTATCATGATGAGCATAAAAAGACAAATCCAATGATATACATATTGTTATATGTTAGATAAGCATTTTCTTGAGCAATTTTGTCCTATTGTTTAGTTCCATTTCGATAGCCCCATTCTCTCATGTACTTCCTTGAAAACTGCACTGCAATATCATTGAAAAATTACAGGAGGTGCTAAAGTTATGTGACTCGCCCTGTGTATAAATTTTGTGTCAACTGAATGAGGTTCGACAAACTTGCATAAGACTTGCTTTTAATACATTTGAACGGACAAATTTGTAGTCAATTTTTTTGGTTCTTAACTTTGTTTGTGAATTTGTACAGAAAACTAGTGTAATATTTGCTCTTACAAATATACTGGTGAGGGAAAGGCAGTAAATCATAAAACACATGGAAATAGTAAACTAAATGTTCAACTACGAATTTAACAATTAATATTTTGAATTTTTTACTGTTATAATTACAGGCAGGTTCCCAGCAAATACACTTTTATGCAAGCTTAGTACTACTCAAACTTTGTAAATAAATGATAAAAGTGCACTTTTCATGTTTTAGTGACTTTTGGATATTTGTTGTACAATGTATTTGGATTATTCTTGTATAATGTATGTTTAAACACTTAACCATATACCATGGAATACAGCAAATTTAAACTTGGACATGAGCTGTTCTACACCCTATTATTCCCGTCATTCTGCCATGTGGGGAATCTTTGCACGATGTCACTCCATTTATGTAGCTAGAATGCCCAAAAAGAAGACTTCAAAATTTCCTTTTTAAGAAATATTGCATAATGCTGTGATTAAAATTTTGTCTATTGTGAGTTTAATTAAAAGCAATATGAGATAAAACAATGTGGGCTCTTTGAAATTCAGTTTATGGCAGTCTATATCTGTTTAATGACTTAATTCATATCCATATATACTCTCATTTGTTTTTTGACCTATGTGTCAATTCCAACAATATTCTTTTTAGTTACAATAATGCAAACTTTTAAATCACATGTGACAACTATACCTAACCTTTAAACAACTCACACTAAACTAACATCAAAACCCAAAGAACTTTTCAGATAAACGATCTGAAGAACATTTTGAAAAACATTTATTTTTCATTGATAAAAAAACAATAAAACCAGAGAATATGTAAAATGCTAAAATTTATTATATATAAAATTTATATATAATAAATTATATATTTAATTGATTTTTACCCTTATTTGTTCAAGTTTGCTATTTGATTGCTTATATTAATCTGCATATTTTAGGAGTTTATTTTGCATTAAAATTCTTAGTTACAACAAAACACTAAAAGTATAAGTCATGCAAAACATTTTAAAACTTTTAAATAATGTATTAAAATGACAATTAGAATGCATAGTAAAATTACTATTTATGTTGGTACTAATAAATAACTCTTACTTTTAATAGAAAACGAAGAAAGTTCAATCTTTCCTGCACTTGTTGTAAATGGTTATACCTAAGGTCAGGGTAAAAATTATTTGGGTCCATATTTGGTGTAGCTGCAACATTTGAAAAAAAATCTCCATTACTAAAATATCATTTGCACTGTATTATCAAAATTAATAAAAGTCATACTCACTCTTTGCTAATTCTCTAACTTTACTCATGTACATTGTTAAACTATTAGTAACCAAAATTACAAGGCTATGTTGATTCTGTAGTCTTTCTATAACTTCTTGCCTATAAAAAAGAAGATAATTTAGAACTAATACTCTTGAAAGTAACATCCTGGTAAAGAATCTTTCGTGTACCTATAGTATATATGATGACTCCGTTGACTATGATTCATGTTTGGAGAAGGTTCATACAAACAGCATATCTCCCGAATCTGCTTCAAAGCTGGCAACACCCACTTATCACTAGTCTTTAGTTCTTCAACACAATTGTCCAACCACACTGTCTTTTGAGCATCACGCTCTTGAGAGCAACTGTAGTCCAAAATTTTAACATGGGCAGTCAGAGCCTGATCCATTATTTCCGTTGGGACATCATCAGAATGAGCCAAGTTCCAGAACAGAGTCAGTACCTACGATTAAAAAAATAAATAAAATTACAGCAAACTTTTGCATGGGTTATAAACACACACACCTGAAATAGAAGCAAGTGTTTGAGGTTATAAAAAAACAGCATTTATACCATATTTTCTCATCTCAAATAGTAATTTAAATGATAATTTTGAAAGGATTTAATAACTTAATAAAAAAAGTATCGATCTTTTATCATTATTTTATTTAATTTCTCATTTATTTCAGATTGTAAAGTATAAATTTATTACATTATAAAAATAATAGTAATAAATTGCATGATGAATTAATCCTGTGTGCTCACATGCAAAAACGGACAAAATATGCCTCTAATAATTACACAACTAACAAGTTCAAAATTACTATGGATGATGGTAGAGCAATTGTCTACTAAAAGTTAAAAAAATGTCTAACAAAACCTGCTATATCACATATAAAAAACAGCCTTTTTTTGTCGTTCCATTCTGATTTTCATTCAACTCCTCCTAATTACTAAGAATGTTTCTCTATAATCCTCTTAACCAAGTGATTTTTGACGATATAAAAATTATTATTATTATTATTATTATTATTATTATTATTATTATTATTATTATTATTATTATTGTTATTATTATTATTATTATTATGTATTTTAGAGTGTCTTATTATCATCTTTGTCTTTTCTATGTGAACATGACAGAGTTGCGAGTAAAATAATGTGAGGCAGAACATATTATACATCACTCTTCACTCTGTAAATCAGGATTTGCTTTGTCCATCAGAAAATTTTGACCTTACCCACCCAGGGAATTCTATAGCAACTCAGGGTACTAGAGGACAGAGAATTGTCAAGACATTATTTTCAACTTGGAAAATAAAAAAAATTCTTTGGAATCAATGAATTTATTTTAATAAAAATTACACTCTAACATTCATAACATTTAGAATTTAGAAAATACGTTCCACATTGTGAAATGTAATCTAGTGTGGAATTTTTTAAAGAATTTCATCTGCGAATAGACAAATTTCCCTCTTTTAGCATACATTTTACTAAATTAGTTGATCTATATATCTCTCATTTTAATAACATAATATACTTATTGATAAAAACCAACTTAAAACAATTAGATTTCAGTTTACAAAAATTCTTTTTGTACTGTTAATTATTAAAGTCTTTATTTATTAATTATCAATTTTTTTCTTCTGCTAAAACTTTCTATGGATATATTTGGCACTTTTGGGCTGGTTGTCGACTAACTTTGCCAACTAGCTAACATCGTTCCCATGCCTGGGCCTAGTTCATTCTCTGACTTCGAGGGTAAGAGAGACATGTGGCAAACATGTCGTATGCCCTTTACCATAACTAGCAAACTCCGCTGGACTTTGCTCTCTTTTGCCCTGGCTGGTTATCAAACCACAGGAAGATATTATGCCCATGAGCAACCCCAGGTCTACTATGCTGCTAAAACTTTAAGTGATATTAATTTTTTCACCTGCCTATGTATGATGTATGTTCAAGTGATCCTCATCACATTTCACCTGGTTTTCAAATTGTGTGTACCAATAGCTAAAACAAAACAAACCTTTTGGAATTGATGAAAAGTGAACTAGGTTGCAATTAATAAATGGTTTATTCATTTATTGCTAATTTTCAATTATGTGAAATTTACTCTTTAACCCAAGTTACTGTGATGGATTGCCCTGGGTTATATAAAAAATCATCACAAAAAGTTATAAGGAACACATAGATGAGCAACAATGGTGGTCAATATTGACGGCCATTAAAATATAAATAAAGGAGAGTAGGACGTGACTAAAGTGATAAAATGACAGAAGAAAAGAGGTTAATTTTAGTTATGGGCATGTGAGGAATTTCTGTGGGTAACAATACAAATATTAAATATAAAACAAGATCGGATATCAAAGAGTAAATACAGTAACAGGCAAACAAGTAATTAACCAATCAAAGGGATTGGGTATGGGTAAGGAATGGTAAGGGTAAGGGTAAGGGTAAGGGTAAGGGTAAGAAATGGAAATTATGTTTTTCTGAAAGACAAGCAGGTTTGATGTTTGTATATTTCAATAAATTAATTGAAACGAGCAAAATAATTCGAACATAATATTTTGTGCTTTAAATCCATATGGGCATGTGCAAGTCTGTCGACCAACAATATGTGTATAAATTTTTCTGTGAACTGTGACAATTTCCTTGTTACATAATAGATATAATACTGAGCAAGCCAGGGCAAGCAAAACCTTTGTAATTTGTTTTTAAATAAATCACGTAAAATTATTTACATTGAAAAAGGGAACCACTAGATTGTTTGACTTTAAACTCCTTATTTCCTGCTAGCTCTATGTTTTCTACGTTAGAAATTTCCAAACTATTTTACATGTGGCATTTCCACAGGTAAATAAAACTAGTGGTGCTACATAATGGCAGAGACTTACTCAAACTAGTAGCTTTTTTATGTCCTTGGTCTCGGCTAGCTTTATGACCTTGCCACATCCTCTAGCAGCTGCCTCTGTCACCACCCAAACTACATTTTTTTTTATTTTCTCAGTTTTTTGGTTTCCTAATAGAACCAAAATATTACTTTAAGAATATTAAAGAAGAGTAAAATCTTGTCTTATATGGAAATTTTCATTGAAAACCTTGGAAACAGTTTTTAGAAAATGTCATTTAAATGCAACTGTAAATGCAAAATTTGAAGCTCTTGCACAGAAATCTTTTGTTTTCAAAAATTTCATTGGATGTCATTCAAAACACTTCTACTCACAAATGCAATATTTTTCACAAATCGCTGGAAATGATCATATTACCGGCGTGAGAGAAAATTGGAGAGAATTACATTTGTGTAATTTTTGGAACATACAAAAGAATGCAGCAAAATGAATTTTGTTGTCTTAAATAGTTCAATTAGGACTATATCTACGAAAAGCTTGAAGAAAAAATTTGGTGCCTGTTGTCAGAAAATGGTGTTTCTGAAAATGAGGAATTGAGATTATTTTCTCAAAAACTTTTGAGTTTCTGAGAAACTTTATAAGACACCATTTAAGCACATGTAGTCATAAATACAATAACATGAACACATTCCGCTAATGTAAATATTAACAACGTAGGAGACAAGTTCAAAAAAATTGCAGTTTTGTAATATTTGAAAAAATAAATTAATAACAAGTGTATTTGCTGCATTAAGGGCAATCTTATGATCCTATAATTACGGAGCTTTAAAAAAAAACGAAAGAAAGAAAAAGAAAAAAGAAAACCAACAACAACAACAACAACACACACACTCAACGACACACAGATAAATCGTGGTATCCTTCCTAGCTTGTCCTCATTGTCAGTATATTTCCAAAATGTTAGAGGGCTACCTACTAAGGGTACGGTGTATGATATTATTTTGGTTGAAACCTGACTACACAGTGGATATGTTTGGTCTTTGAGGATATACTGTGTATAGATGTGACAGAAATATTACCTTAAGCTGTAATGTGAGGGGTGGAGGTGTACTTATTGCTGTTCGAGACATATTTCTGTCAGTTAGGCTAAGAACATCAAATTTGATTGAACATCTACATATTCATGATACTGTGGAACCTCATCATTGGAGCAGTGTACTTTCTACCAATATCTGGGACATTCGTGTATGACATTTATGAACGCGATATTCAAGACATCTTAGAACAGTTTTCGAATTCAAAATTCCTTCTCACTGGTGATTTCAACCTGCCTGGTTTTGACAGGCCCCTACTTATAAGGGAAGTGCCTGCTTGCACTAATTCTACATTGGTTCCATCTCATTATGAATTCAGCTCTCTTTAATGTTGAAGCTCTATCGATGGCGAAATTGACACTGTAAATGTTAAGGTAACTTATTGTACCTTTTATTTTCTAACTGTGGTATTGTTGATATTGTGCAATCCATTGACTGTGATATGTA